TTTTCAGCAGTGGAGCCATTCAAAAGGGATACGCGCGAACGTTCTTGTATCCTGACTCCTGAGTTGATCCCACGCAACTCAAGTTGTCAACGGTGAGGCAGAAGGGGGGCTGTGGAAACCCACAGAAATGTGGCGGGGAGGCGGGGCGGGGCAGAGAGCAAGGAGGGGAGGGGAGGTGGGGGAGAAGACGGAGGGAAGAGGAGGGGAAGAGATGGGAGGGAGGGGTGGAGAGGGGAGGGGCAGGGTGGGGAAGACGTGGAAGGGATGGAGGGGTGGAGAAGGAAGGGGATGGAGGGGCGGGGTGGGGTGGGAGGAGAGAGGACGGCGGGGAGGCGAGAAGATGAAAGGGAGGGACGGGGAGGGGGTGGAGGAGAAGGGAGGAGCAGGGAGAGGCGGAGGGGCGAAAAGAGTATGAAGGGGAGGGGAGAGGCGGGCGGGGACTGAGGGACGGAGAGGGCGGGACGATTCTCCGCAGCTCTGAACGCCCGGCCCGCCGGTGCTGCGCGCGGTGCTGGGAGCGCCCCTGCAGGAGGCGCCCGGGCAGGTCGGCGTCCGCTCCCAGAGCCGACGCGGGTTCTCGCCCGGCGGCCACGCTGCGCGCTGAGCGGTTCCTCGCTGTCTCCGCTGACATGGGTGGGCAGATCTTTGTGCGCTACTTTTAAGTGCTCTAATGAGCACCCTGACTGCCAGCCCTGGGAGCGGCAGTGGCTCCGGGGAGCGGAGGGGGTGTCGTCCGCGCCCATCCCCCACCCCACCCCACGTCTGGACGCACCGAAGCCACAGCGGTGATCGTTAGGACCCGCGGCCGCCAGGCCCGGGCGGGGGACGCAGACTCTCCGCCGTCCGTTGCACCCCGTGGTGGCTGCCCTGCAGCTGGCGGCCGCCTTCCCTGAAGTTCTTGCTCCCTTGAATACACTCAGGGCCCAGCGGATATTCCTCCGGGTGCGGGGATGGGGAATGGCTAGCGGGCAGCCGGACAGGAGCGCTGTCTCCCTGAGATTTGCGGGGCTCGGGCTTGTGCAGCGGACCCAGCCACAGATGTCTGCAGAGAGGCCTGCGCGCGTGCCGACTCCGCAGGCAGGAGGCCGTGGCTCCCCTCGCTCCTGCTCTGCCTGCGGCCTCACCCACCAGGCCGGCCAAGATGACTGGGACCGACGGGGCTTCATGGAATGCAAAACTTTCGGTGAGTTTTGCTGCTGAGTATCCTCCTCCTACCCCTGGGAGGAGGGCTGAAATCGCAGAAGTCCTGGGTGGACCGGGGCAAATTGGTCATCCTAAGGCCAACCCAGCCTCTGGGGTTGAGGCCGTCACCCTGCTGTATTAACCACACGGGCATAGACTCCTGGGGGAATAATCACCTTCAGTTTCTCCCTTTCCGGGAGTCTCCAGAGATTTTATTTGTCTTCTTCACTCTGTGTGTGTAGTGTATCTGGATTCCGCATACAGTACAATCTGCCTTTGATTCTTGCAAGCCCAGAATTGCTTATGAATTCCTAATTTGGGAGCAGCACCAATGTAGCTGTGGGTACCAGCCCCATCCAGCTCCTTTAAAGGCAGGGTCGCTGCAGAGAGTGCAGGACAGTGAGGCCCCCTGGTCCCTTCTTTCTGGCTTTGTGGTAGGCTCTGAACTATGCTTCTTTCGAGTGTTCCACGCCTTGTCCTCTTTCACAGATCTTGCTGGTTTCCTTTTGGTTCGGGCCCCTGTGCTGATGCACTGGATATAGCTGACCTGCTTAGTTCACGAGCCCCTTTGCCCCTGGTGCTCTGCTGCGGAGTATCCTCTCCCCACCCCTGGGAGGAGGGCTGCCCCTTGCCATCTGGGTCTGCCTTAATCAGGAAGGGAAGTTACTGTTGACGAAGGAAGAAGAAACAAGGCATTTTTCTGAATCTTTTGCTTATTCCTAGACCAGGGTTCCTGAAGTTAAGACCCAGGAGCTGCCACCTCATCCCCCACCCCACCTTTACATTTTGTTTTATTATTTGTGACTTACCCTCAGGGAACATGGTCACATAACTAGCGACCCAATTAAAGGGTTTTGTGGAGCTGGAAAGAGCCATTACTTAATTTTTTACATGTCATCCTCTAGGATGGCACAGGTGAGCTCTGACCTGCCTGTCTGCTACCTAAACGGTTCCTGTGTCTTCTCCTCTCTCTAATGGACCTAACGGATCAATGCTCCTTTCTTCACCTTTCCTGTATCATGAGACTTTCAGTGTCTTCCCACTGTGGGCGTGGTGTTCTGCCCCCTTTGCCTCCAGGTGACTTGCTTTGGCCAATGCGATGTTAGCAAATGGGACTCAAAGGCGGGGGAGCGGGTGCCCTTTTCCCTCACTTGCCCTTTTCCCTCACTCTTGCTCCTTCTCCTTTGCCAGGACAGTCCAGGTGGTGAGTTACATGGAGCAGAGTCAAATTTCCCAGTTGTCCCAGCTGTGCTCATTCTAGAACAGCTAAACTGCAGCTGACCAGCAGATATGTGGGTGAGCCCACCCAAGACCAGAAGAACTGCCTAGCAGAGCCCTGTCTCAGTCACTGTTTCACAGAGTTGTGTGTCAATATTTATAGTGTGACATGTCATTGAGGTTATATGGTTGATACATAGCATTATTGTGGCAGTTAATGATGGATTCACTCTAGCTCCACACAGCTGCCAGAAAGAGCTCTCAGATTCTGTGATGTCACAGGACCCAGCATGGTTCTATGTGCAGTTTGAAGCAGATGGTGACAATGGAAGGACCTTGGTGTCAGGCAGACCAGAGTGTGGACCTGCAGCCCGCTACTTACAAGCAGTGTGACTCTGGGCAAGTTAGTTAACTCCTCTCATATTCAGTTGTCTCATTCTAAAATGAGGACAAGACTGATATCACTAGTTCTAATGCTATGACCCCTCCAAATCTCATGTTGAAATATGATCCCTGATGTTGAAGATACAGCCTAGCAAGAGGTGTTTGGGTCATGGGGGCCAGTCCCTCACGAAGTGCTTGGTGCAGTTCTTACAGGAAGGAGTAAGATCTCCTTCTATCAGATCCCACAAGAGCTGGCTGTTAAAAAGAAACTGACACTTCCCTTACCTCTTTCTTGCTCTCTCTTTCTTTCCTTCTATGTGATCTCTGCACGTGCCAGTGTCCCTTCGTCTTCTGCCATGAGTGGAAGCAGCCTAAAGCCCTCACCAGAGGTAGATGCTGGTGCCATGCTTCTTGTACAGCCTGCAGAACTGCGCAACAAATAAGGCTCCTGTTTTTAAAATACAATTATCCAGCTTCAGGTATTCCTTTGTAGCAACACAAATGGACTAAGACATCTAATAATTCTAATAGGTACAAATGATTGGGCAATTATGTGTCTGAAATCATGTTAAGAATTTCATATACTATAGCTGATTAGATTTTCACCATAGCTCTGTAATAAATATCTGTTTTACAGATGAGGAAGCTGAGGTATAGTGAGATTAATTGAATGAGCCAAAGGCACAGAGCATATGCTACATTCAGTTTTGTTTTATGTGTGTTTTTCTTTGATCAGCATATAGATTTTCCATATAATATGATCTCAACTAAAGCAAAATATATAGAAATAAGACTGGAAAAAATATGACAATATGTAAATAGCAGTTGCCTGTGAGTACCGAACTTTGAATTTTTTTTTATATTAACTCAAAAATTTTTATAATTATCTTTATATTTTATATCTTTATATGTTTATATAAAGATAATTATGACTATATAAAAGATATAATTTTATATTATCTTTATAATTAAACATTTTTTAAGAATTCCTCTTCACACAGTATTTGACTGTGTTTCTAAATCTTGTGAATAATGGCAATATCTGGCTTTAGAGTTACTTCCTTCATATTTTTTATTTTAATCAATACAAGGCCTTTGGTTCAACATCCTGGAAGAATATTTATTGCAGGCCACTTTCTCTGAAAAATATATTAAAAGGCTGATAGAATACATATTATTTAGGGTAGGGTAGGTTGGGGTAACAAAGAGACCCCAAAATATATAATGATTCAAACACAATAGAAAGGGGCTTCTTTTTCTTGGAGAGCTTACAGAGGACCAGTCTTCTTAGAGAGAACAACAAGAACGCTGACGGCATCCAAAAAGCATTTGTCTGAAGGCATTGGAGAGCTGTGGAGGCAACTAGGCCTACGAGGCCAAGATTCATGAATGGGAAAAACCATGAAAAGATGAGCCATATTCTGAAGCTGCTCTTCCCTCAGGCACTTGGGAATGCTGGGCCAGGCCTGGGCTACTAGAGGGGGCAAGAGAACTAGCAAAGGTGTGGGGAGCCTATAGGTCTGGAAAGAAAAAATTAAATTCTTAGAGTGAGGGATCCAGAAACCCATAAGAGCAGATAACTGAGCCAAACTTTCAGCCAGTTTTTAACTCAAGATATTGGAAAATTTCTGAAGCTACACAAAATGGAAACTAGGTAGGTAAATACAGAGCCTTGGAAAAGCTAAGTGACGTTTTCAATAGTCTCACTGTGCTGAGGACACTAGGACTAGAACTTAGAACTTATGGGGCAAGGGCCTATGATGAACACCCCAGCAACTCAACAGGAAACCATAAAACCACGCTCTAAGAATCAACATGATCCAGAAGTAGGCAGAGGTCCAATACTGCCGCTGAGCCCTGAGTTAACTCAGTCCCTGATTGAATTAAGCTGATTAACCAATAGCACGTGATATGGTTTGGCCGTGTCACTATCCAAATCTCATCCTGATTGTAGCTCCCACAATTCCCACATGTCACGGGAGGGACCTGGTGGCAGTTAACTGAATCATGGGGAAGGGTCTTTCCTGTGCTGTTCTCGTGATATTGAATAAGTCTCATGAGATCTGATGGTTTTGTTCAGATCTCATGGGAGTCCCCCTGCAGAAGCTCTTTTACTTCTGCCACCACGTAAGTTGTGATTCTGCTCCTCATTTGCCTTCTGCCATGACTATGAGGCCTCCCCAGCCGTGTGGAATTGTGAGTCAATTAAACCTCTTTTTCTAAATAAATTACCCAGTCTTGGATATGTTTTTATTAGCAGCATGAGAACAGACTATAATACAGTATAGCTACCTGTCAGAGGAAAGGATGAACAATGTCCAGCATTAAATAAAAAATGTAGGCACACCAAGAGAAAAGACCAAATGGTCAGATATAAGGAGGGGAAATTAGATAAGGGAAATCAACCCACAGGTGATTCAGGTATTGGACTTAGCTAACAAGGGTTTAAGAGAACTATTATTAATATGGCAAAGAATATAGAAAAAGATAGAATAGAATTTCATCAGACAACTGAAAAGCTGTGAAAAAAATTAAATGAAAATTTTGAGAATTAAAAATTTTACAAACTAAACTTAAGAATTCAGTAGGTAGATATATTATTAATGTAACCTGTTATTATTAATAATCTATTATGAATAGATTTGAAGCAGCAAAAGAGGATTAGTGAATTGGGAAATACAGCAACATAAAAAATTAAGATTAACACAGAAGGAAAAAAGATAGAAAATACAAAAGAAAACATAAAGGACATAGACAACAAGTGTAAAGGCCTAACATAAGTATAATTGTAGCCCCAGATAGAGAGGAAAGAGATAATGGGGTAAGGAAATATTTGAAGAACTAATAGCTGACAATTTTCCAAAACTGAGGAAAGACATTAATCCACAAATTTAGACTCTCTACATACTCTAAGCAAGGTAAATATAGAATAAATTATATTCATTATAGCTAAGCTGCTGAAAAACAAAGATATAAAAGGATATTGTGAACACAGCAGGAGAGAAAAGATACATTACCTTCAATGGAGCAACAATAAGACTCAAGATTGACTCTCAGAAATGATATGTTTAACAGACTGGAAGGTAGTAAAACTAACCTGAAATTCTATATTCAGTGAAAGTGTAACAGTTCAATTGGTTAATCTTGCCCACTGCCTACCCAGATAGAGCCAATGTATCAAGATGGAGAATTGCAATAGAGAGTTTAATACATGTACAGCCAGCTAAACAGGGGACTGTAGTTTTAATGCTATTCAAATTAGCCTCTCCAAAAATTTGGAGACTAGGGTTTTTTAAAGATAGTTTGGTGAGCAGGGGGCTAGGGAATGAATGCTGCTGATTAGTTAGGGCTGCAATTATCCGGGTGTGGAAAATGGTCCTCATGTGCTCAGTTCACTTCTGGATGGGAGCCACAGAGGAAATGCTGGTCTAGTTGGAGTCATCCAGTCATCAGAAATGCAAAAGTCTGAAAAGGCGTCTTAAAAGGGCAATTTTAGGATCTACAGTAGGGATGCTATTTACAGGAGTAATTGGAGAAGTTGCAAATCCTTGTAACCTCCAGAATAATAGCTGGTAATCATTTACCTATGCCTACATCTTAGCAGGATTCAGGTGCCTCTCATCTTCCTAACCTGGCTTCCTTTCATTAGTTGTACAAAAGTGGCTTAGTTTTGGGAAGAGCTATTATGTTTGTCTCCCAAAGTTAGTCTGGCCCATGCTCAGGAATGGCCAAGGCCAGTCTGGAGGTTAAAAGCAAGACGAAGTTAATTAGATCTTTTGCTGTCATAATTTTTCACTGTTATAATTTTTGCAAAGGCAGTTTCAAAAACAGCCTTCAGAAATGAAGGGAAAATATTATTTTAAGACAGCAAACCAGAAAGACCCAGTCTAAAATAAATGCCAATAGAAATTCTTCAGACAAAGGAAAAAGAACCCAGATTTAAAAACTGAAATGCATGAAAAAATTGAAAGCTACAGAAAAAGTAAATATATAAATATAAATAAACATTAACCATACAAAACATCAAAAATAATGTCTAATGGGGTTTAAAATATATATTGACAAGAATAAAGGAAAAGAATGTGAGCAATAAAGTATTCTAAGATCTTAACATGTGTAAAAGAATTAAAAGTCCTAAATTACATTAGACAATAATAAGTCAAGAATACATGTTGCAATATTTACAGTAATTACTGAAATACAAATAAAAGAATGTTTAAATACCAAGTTTATACAGGGAAAATAGAATGATAAAAGTCTTCATCCAAAAGAAGGTAAAAAAAAAAAAAAAAAAAAAAAAAAACCAAAAAACATGGAAAAGAAATAAAAAATGGGTGCAACAAAAAAATTAAAATGGTAGCTATAATTCT